TAAGTACCAGAATGAAAATGCAAATGATAACATATTCTAAATTAAGTAAGCAAATTAAAAATCATTCATCTGGAGTGGTATGCTAACTTTCTCACAAGAATTATGTTCTTTTATTCTCACATTTATCATACTTCTAAATCTGTTTACTATATCGCATGACTGCGATACATTTATATACCTTTGGGCAATTCTCATACACACTTTTCAGAGATGAGATATTGATATCAATAGTCTGTGATAATGAAGTACAGCTCTCCTCCAATGTAACATAATGCTGTGTGATACGCTCATTCTCCAGAAGTTAGACAATACATAACTACAGCAAGAAGATGCAAAAATGCAACATTAAGGAAGCTGTTGGAGTCCGGATAAAATTTTGACACATTAATGAGCTACAGCTGCAAACAATCCTAGTATCACTTTTAAAAGAGAGCTGCTTGGTTGCCCAAGATGCACAAACAGATCCATGTGCCTGGAATAAGTGCTATTCAACACAAAAGGGACTTATAACTCAGTATGTATAGAACTGCTCAGATATGTTCTTATTCTCCCCACCTGGGACCAAAACACTGCATGTGACTCAGTACCTACAACAATGTATGTTACAAGGAACGTACTTGTGAATGTTTAGGTTACACGTAGACCTTCTCCCCTCTGTTGGAGAGTTCTCTTTTTTGGCTCTGTTGTTGAACTCATTTTATTTTCAAAATCAGAAAAATCCAGTCTTTTTTTAAATATCCTACCACAAATGTTGAAAAATCTATTAAAAGGCAACTAGCAGCAAGAGGAAACTCCAATTTAATTCATATTTTGGAATTCAAACTCTCCCAAATTCATATTAGGTATAAACTGAAAATCCTAATATATGAATTCTGGCCAAAAACTGTCAGCATTTGTGATTATTAAACAGTGAGAGTTCGCAGGTATTTATTTGGTATGTTTCCAGGAAATGACTAGAACCAGACATGCTTAGCTCTGGAAAACTTGTAACATGTCTTCGACCCATAACCTGCACTCTCTGCCACTTGTTAAAAAGAGCAAGAGTGAGCCAAGTTCTTCCTAGCCTGGTTAGCAATGACACATTCATGTTCCATAGATAAGTGGTAGGGAAACATGTAACTGAAACACTCATCCTCCCTCACCAGCAGGCATATTGGCTGAGGCTGATGGGAGTTGCAGTCCAAAACTTTGAGGATATAACTCCTGTTCCTGAGCACTGATCTACATGGAAGACGCAGCTCCTTACATATGTTTCTCTCTTTTACTTGTCAGCCACTGAAATTGACTAAAAACATTCTGTAAAAACAAGATAAAGTCCTTTACACACCAAATAATTAATTCAACAGATTCAGTCACAGAAGACAGTGAATGCCCAGCAGTGCAGATGTCTTTAGAAGATATTTAGACAATTTTAGGGAGGGAAACATCTATTAAGAACTACTAGTCATGAGACCAATGTGCAGAATGCCTCAGCACCTGATGCTGAGCAGTGATTGGAAGGGGCAATTGCCCTCATGTCCTGCACTGGGGCTTATTACAGTCACTGTAGGAAACCAAGATGCTGAACCAGACAGACCTCCAATCTGATCCAGCAGGGTCCTTGTGTTTCAGTAGCTGGAAGCAAATATATACACCAACACAGAAACCTATCTATGCTCTAGCAAAACATAATGGGAAGAAATGTGTTTATATGTTTGTATCCTGACTTTTGTTTTCTTTCAAAGGCACTCAGAGCAGACTTAACGGAGATTACTTTCATGTACCAAAGAGTGCATTTCCTTCGTCTACCTCTTCACTGGGATGACTAATGAGCATGTCATCTCATTCATGGTAATCCTGGGTTTAAAAAAAACCCTGGGTTACTGTTGCCTACAAATTGAGTCTATATTTGCTTGTGCTATTCCTCCTGGCATTAACTATATTTTCTCAGGGATTTTTGAAAGGAATTTGTGCACTCCAGTACATCAGCTGCATGAGTCAGTCTGGTGCACTGGTTAAAAGTATGGGTCTGGACTGAGGTAGACTGGGTTCTAGTCTCTGCTCAGCCATGGAGCCAACAGTGACTTTGGGCCAGTTACAGACTTTCAGCCCAACCTACTTCATAGGATTATTGTTGTGGAGATAAGACTGAGATTAAGTGGAAGAGAATGATGTAAACCACTTGGAGTTTTTTACAAGAAAAAAAAGTGGGATATCAAATAAGAATAGAAGAAAGTGGGAGAGAAACATGGCCTGTCAACTTACTGGCCTTCCTATCCACACCTACCAAGTTGAATACAGCAATGGGGGAGCAAAATGATAGGCCTTCATCTTGTACCCATACAGTTTAATTACTACTCTCCAGCATCAGCAAGAATATGCTCCTAAGGATTTTTATGTTCTGCCTCTTGGACCCCTGTGAAGAGACAACTCAAATTACCGTATTTTTCGCTCTATAAGACGCATCTGACCATAAGACGCACCTAGTTTTTAGAGAAGGGATCCATGGAAAGCTTCCTGATAATCACAGGCACATTCCCCATCACTTCCCCATGGGCTTCATTAAAAGACAGGTTGCCATTTGAAAACACACACCAACCTGTGATTAACAGCTCTCACCTGTGCCGGAGGAGGGGGGCAGAGCAGGGCGCGCCGAGCACGTGCCGACCAGGTGTGGTGCAGCTGAGCCGGCAGCGTGCCAGCGGTGGTCTTCCGGGCGGTACAGTGGCAGCAGGCTTTCCCGGGCGGTGGGGGTGAGCAATCCATCTCTCGGTGCGGCCGGTGGGTTAAAGCCTGCTGCTCCTCCTCCTCTGCAGCAGGTCTTTCCGGGTGGTGGGGGTGAGCAGTCCATCTCTCCGTGCAGCCGGTAGGTTAAAGCCCGTGGCTCCTCCTCCTCCGCACCGCTCCCCCTGAGCGGCACAGCTCTCACCTGTGCTGGGGGGGGGGGGTGGAGCAGCATGCGCTGAGCGTGTGCCGGCCAGGTGGTGCCATGTGGTGCAGGTGGGCCGGCAGCATCCTGGGCGTCGGGCACACACACATTCGCTCTATAAGATGCACAGACATTTCCCCTTACTTTTGAGGGGGGAAAAGTGCGTCTTATAGAGCAAAAAATACGGTACTAATAGAATAAGGACTGCAGCTATTCCATCTCTCAAGCACAATTAATAGTAAGCAATAGAAGGGTTGGGTGTTGACTTGTGTTTTTTGTTTTGCATTTCATATAATGATTGTGAGAGCCAATATGGTGCACTGTTCAGAGTAGTTCAAATTCCCGTTCAGTCATGTTGCTCACCAGGAGACCTACCCATAGCCTCACCTACCTCATGGGGTTGTTACGAGGATTAAATAAGTAGGGGAGCCATGTACACAGACTTGAGCACCTTGGAAGAAAGGTGATATTCAAATCTAACTCATAATGCATAAATTTTACACTATGAGGAAGATTTAGATTTGCAGAATAAATATAGCATATTTAAAATTCTTGGCCACAATCTATACAAAACTGCAATTAGCACATTGAAAAAGACATACATTTCAAAAATGCAGAGGCAAGATGTTTGTGCAAAGCCATCAGAGACAACATCTTCAACATCTGAGCAATGCAGGTGTTATGAATTGTAGAATCTCTGCAACCAAATTCTTGTTTATTCCACCTCTTCCCAACAGATGGCAATATAAGAACATAATAAAATCAACTGTAGCTAGAAAATTTAATTTCTGTAAATGCTAAATACTTGAATAGAGACACTCTGCCATTTATTTCTCTTGCATGCCCACAGTCTGGGAAATAAAGGCAGGATTTAAACTTTAGTATCTAGACAAGTTACCACATAATACAGCATACAAGAGAGGTCCTCAGCCTTTTCTGGATCCATGGAGACATTCTGGATTTTTTGAAAAAGCACAGCCACCTGAAAGTTCATTATCAATGAACTGCATTTTTTGACAATGCCCAACAGTTGGTATCTTCTTTTGTGGAAAGCTCTATATAATTATTAGAAAGTTGTGTGCATTTCACACAAATCAATGTATATATAATGCATGCATTTATTTGCTATATACTTTGATGCCATACTCTATTGTATTTTATTGTATGACATAGTGAAGGGCGGGATATAAAAACTTTAAATAAAAAAGATTTTTTTTTTTTTTTTGGCAGCACATTTTTTTTGGTGGGCAGTATACTGGAAACCCCTTTGTGGGGAAGCATGGCACCCACAGGTATTGCACTGGGGTCCCCTGACATACAGAGTACACTGAAACTGTGAATTTCAGAATAAGGAGATCACCCTTGCAGCAAAGTAGAAATTAACAGCTGATTCACATGTCAGTGATTCAAGCTTGCAAGTGCTGAATATATAATATATGAATTCTCCAAGCCAAGTTCTTAATACACAGGGCTGGTACTTGACATCTTGGTAGCTTACCAAAATATTATAAGGATGTTTCTGTTGCATTAGAAGCTGAAGCTGCTAGCTGCTGCCCGCTCATGCATCGTAACTGCTACATGGCTTGCTGAATATTAGAAGCACCTCACATGTGGCCGTGCCAGCTGGCTACTATCAGATGCTTCAATCCCTTTTCTCCAACTGCTCTGCAATCTCTAGTGCCTGAGTATTACAGGCACCCTTCCCATATTTGGCTCTGAGGAAGGAGCTCTTCAGAGCCAGGCACTTTGGCTGCTCTCTGAAGGCACACACTGGCTACTTCCTCCAGCTGATGTAGGTCTCTTGAAGCTTACTGCCCTCTGACTTATGCAGCACAACATGGTAGCAGCAAGGAAATACAACACAGTGTTGGGAAGGGGATATGTGATAGTGCAGTAATGGGAGGGGACATAATGCACAGTGGCACTTCAGAGAGCAGGAGAGCTCGTCGCAGGGTTCTTTAGTAATGTCCAGTTTATACATACACTCAGTCCCCTTGTACATAAATACATACAGACCCAAAAGCATCTGCCTTCATTTATGATGTTTCTCAGCTATCCAAGCTAGAAAGTGGAAAGACATGCAATAGCATACCTGGTGTCTGGACATGCTAGATTAGGATCAAGGGAAATTGTCTCAGTTGTAATCTCCACTTTTCGTACACTTCCAAAGAAATCAGTTATCAGGACATGCTCAGGATCTCTCTGAAACAGATCTGTCCGGTGTCCAGGTGTAGATACACACAAACTTTTCGGGCACACCTGAAACTATAAAGGAGACAAAAGTATATCAGTCTTCACAGGCGTTTTGTCCAATGCATTATTGGTAATGAAGGACAATTAGAGAAAAAACAGTAACTGCTTCATTTGTAATTAACAAATTACAAATGACTTCTAACTAATATAATAGGCAGAAAACACTAGTGGCAAAATTGTCAGGAATGAAGAGCACAATAAGGCTTCTCTCTTTCTGGAGCAGCAAAAATAGGTAGGATTGTAGACAGGTTAATTTCAGCTTGGAAGGTCAAACTTTTTACAGGCTGATCTAAAGAAGTTTGCAAGTTTTATGCAACAGAATGTACAGTCTGTTTACAGCAGTGGTAGTGTTTCGTTCTTGATCCCAAAGGCAAATAGGCATTTCAGAAGTTATCCTATATTATACTAAAATATCACTACTTATACTAATTCAACTAAGGTTGTCATAGTAAATGAATAAAATTAATTGTGTTGAGTTTAATTGAGCATTTCTCTGAATTTACCACATCTTCCTACCTTCCATTTCAACTCCTTGTGGAGTCATCTTGCCTCATCTTTTTCTCTGCAGTTGCTGGGAGATCAGCTAGAACTGATACCGACATTTCTACTTTTCCATTCTCTAGTGAGAAAAATAGTGGAACTAAGTGTTTCGTCCCCTTCATGGATCACTGCCTTGTCGTGGCGAAGGGGCTTGTGTAGCTCAATGAAGCTATGAGCTATGCCATGCAGGGCCACCCAAGACGGAAAGGACATAGTAAAGAGCCCTGACAAAAGATGATCCACTGAAATGGCAACCCACTCCAGTATCCTTGCCATGAAAACCTCAAGGACAGTACCAAATGGCAAAGAGATATGATGCCGGAAGATGATCCCCTCAGGTCGGAAGGTGTCCAATGTGCTACTGGGGAAGAGCAGAGGGCTAGTATTAGTTGCACCAGAAAGAGTGAAGCGACTGGGTCAAAGCCAAAAGGACACTCAGCTGTGGATGTATCTGGTGGTGAAAAGAAAGTCTGATGCTGTGAAGATCTATACTCCATAGGAACCTGGAATGTAAGATCTATGAATCAAGGTAAGCTGGACATGGTCAAATATGAGATGACAAGACTGAACATTGACATCTTAGGAATCAGTGAACTAATATTCAGATGACCATCAGGTTAACTACTGTCGGCAAAGATGCCTCCGATGAAATGGAGTAGCCTTCATAGTCCATAAAAGAGTAGGAAAGGAGTACTGGGTTACAATCTCCAAAACGACGGAATGATCTCAATTTGAATTCACAGCAAACCATTCAACATCACAGTAGTCCAAGTCTATGCTCCAACCAGTGATGCTGAAGAGGCTGAAGTTGACCGGTTCTACAACACCTTCTAGAATTAACACCAAAAAATGATGTCCACATCATGGGGGATTGGAATGCTAAAGTAGGAAACCAAAAGATAACCAGAATAACCGGCAAGTTTGGCCTTGGAGTACAAAATGAAGCAGGGCATAGGCTGGTAGAATTTTGTCAAGAGAACACACTGGTCATAGCAAACACTCTTTTCCAACAACCCAAGAGACAACTCTACACATGGACATCACCAGATGGTCAACAAAGAAATCAGCTTGAGTATGTGCTCTGCAGCCAAAGATGGAGAAGCTCTATACAGTCAGTAAAAACTAGACCAGGAGCTGACTGTGGCTCAGATCATGAGCTTCTGTTGCAATGTTGAGGTATGACCTAAACCATATTCCTTATGAATATACAGTGGAGGTGACAAATAGATTTAAGGAATTAGATCTGCTAGACAGAGTGCCTGAAGAACTATGGATGGAGGTTCACAACATTGTACAAGAGATAGCAACTAAAACCATCCCAAAGAAAAAAAAAATGCAAGAAAGGAAAATGGCTGTCTGAGGAAGCTTTATAAATAGCTGAGGAAAGAAGGGAAGCAAAAGGCAAGGGAGAAAGATACACCTAATTGAATGCAGAATTCCAGAGAATAGCTAGAAGAGGTAAGAAGGTCTTCTTAAATGAACAGTGTAAAGAAATAGAAGAAAACAATAGAATAGGGAGGACCAGAGATCTCTTCAAGAAAATTGGAGATATGAAGGGAATATTTCATGCAAAGATGGGCATGATAAAGGACCAAAATGGTAGGGACCTAACAGAGGCAGAAGAGATTAAGAAGAGGTGGCAAGATTGCACAGAAGAACTATACAAGAAAGTGCTTACTGTCCCTGATAACCACAATGGGGTGGTTGCTGACCTCAAGCCAGACATCCAGGAATGTAAAGTCAAATGGGCCTTAGAAAGTCTTAGCAACAACAAGTTGGCTTCAAACTCAATATTAAGAAAACTAAGATCATAGCATGTGGTCCTGTCACTTCCTGGCAAATAGATGGGAAAGAAATGGAGGTAGTGACAGATTTTATTTTCCTGGGCTCCAAGATCACCGCAGATGGTGACTGCAGCCAAGAAATTAAAAGATGCTTGCTCCTTGGGAGGAAAGCTATGGCAAATCTAAACAGCATACAAAAAAGGAGAGACATCACCCTGCCAACAAAAGTGCATATAGTCAAGGCTATGGTTTTCCCAGTTGCAATGTATGGCTGTGAAAGCTGGACCATAAGGAAGGCTGGGCGCTGAAGAATTGAGGCCTTTGAATTGTGGTGCTGGAGAAGACTTCTGCAAGTTCTTTGGACTGCAAGGAGATCAAACCAGTCAGTCTTAGAGGAGATCAACCCTGACTGCTCTTTAGAAGGCCAGATACTGGATGAAACTCAAATACTTTGGCCATCTAATAAGAAGGAAGGACTCCCTGGAGAAGAGCCTAATGCTGGGAACAATCAATGGCAAAAGAAGAAGGGGATGGTAGAGAATGCGGTGGCTAGATGGAGTCACTGAAGCAGTCAGTGTGATCTTAAGTGGACTCCGGGGGATGGTGGAGGACAGGAAGGCCTGGAGGAATGTTGTCCATGGGGTCGCGATGGGTTGGACGTGACTTCACAACTAACAACAACAAAGTGTTTCGTGCTATACATATGTAACAGCACTGTTGTACACACACAACAAGACAAACCACAGCTTGGTCATTGAAATTTGGCCTCAAACTTGCAGAATTATTTCTTCCCACACTGCCGGCTTCACTTTCCCTTTTTCATGATCTCCACTGAGGGAACCACCATTTGCTAATACATGAAATTGGGAAATCCATTGCTTACCTCTAAACCCACTAGAATAAAAAAAAAAAACAAGGGTGGAAATGGATTCCAGTGGAGCTGCAATCTATGACTTGCCCCAACCAGCAATCAAGGAAGGAACTCAAAACTTCCAAAACACGATGCACTCTTTTCATGAAAAAGTGAGGTACAAAGCAAATAAATAATAAATAAGGAATGACAGAATGTGCAACTGCAAGATACAGTTTCAAAAGCCATGATATGTGAACTAAGCTAACATGGCTTATGAACTTCATGTGTATTTGTTCCACGTTCAGTGGAGTTTAATTTAAGCAAACTAGCACAGGGTTGCTGCCTCTGTTTCACCTAAGGTTCAAAATAAAGGAGACATTCAAACCACTAAAAAGGAAGGGCTTGATAATCTGTTGCATCATCAGCAAGTTCTGGCCTAGAATTTCTAATTGTCTGGTCCTTCTCATCTTGCTTCCCAGATGGCTACTTACATACTTGTTAACTAATGTTGATTTCTGGTAAGCCAATGAATTCCACAGACTAAAGACAAAGTGTACCAGCCAAATTTATTCAAACTGGCAAGATCCAACTATTATTCTGGTACAGTCTTGTTCTCAAGTATGTTATATCCCAATGCTTGTGCCTTGTTAGCTGGCATTTGGCCACAATTTAAAAATAAAATTGTCATGTTCTTGATTGATCATTAGTCATTGGTAAATGTTTTTATATAGCCACTCTTCTTTTTAAAAAAGCATGATTTCAATCCATTGTTTGTGCGCTAGAATCTCTTACTGAAGTAATACCACTTTCTAAGATACACAAAAGCTTTTGTAAAACTAGTTATTCCTTATCTATACAGACATGCATTCTGGTATCTATGTGAAATAGAAAATCAAATACTACTGAATTTATTAAAGCTAGTATAATCTACTAAACATTCTTGACCAAGTAGGCAGAATACTCATTATCAATTTGCTTTTTTTAAATTCTTGATTTAACTACAATCTACTTCAAAAACCAGTGCCAGAGACAGGAATTGAGTTGCTTGTTTCTCTTAGCCACCAGTTCAAATTTAACAGATGTGCAAGCTATCTTGTCATATAGAAACATAGAAACAGAGTGAGTCAGAAGGGTCCTCCCAAGCCATCTAGTCTGACCTCAGGCTCCAGCCGGCTCCATTCATGACATGCCTACCATATGAGTCCATCTGAACATGAGCAGAATTTACCAGTGGGTCAATATACCTTGGCTCCATAATAAAGGGGTGGGTGACTAAAATCTGCTAGGCAGAACATTATTTAATTTTGAAATAAAGTATCAACTGGTGGTATAGGCTTAAAAGTATAATGATAGCCATACTTGAACTAAAGGGGAATTCCTTTTACATGAACATGCTTACACTCTTAATGCTGGCAATTGTTTTACATGAATTATGCAGTCATGAAAAGGTCCCTCACCATTTGTTCCCTTCTGCAGCATAAATGCTTTCTATGAGCCAAAGACATGAAGTTGCCAGCTTCCAATTTAACCCAGAAAAGGAAGTGACATTTCGAAGCTGATTCAACTTCAGTATTGTTAAAGCAGATGTCTTTATAAAGTTAGTACTGCATGCAATGGCCCAACAACTTCCAACAATATATACTATTAGAAAATCAATACAATCCTTTGCTGCCAAGATTCCAAAGGTAAAGAAGATTGGTTTCTACAACAGTGAAGCTTTCGGAATGCTGCATTTAAACTTAAATTAGGAGGACCTTGGACAAGTCTTATGTCACAATGTCTCTCTCTCTCTCTCTCTCTCTCTCTCTCTCTCTCTCTCTCTCTCTCTCACACACACACACACACACACACACACACACACACACACGTTTGCCTATGTACTTAAAGGTGAAATTCAGCATTGTGTAAATTCTGCTTATGTGATGTGACTATTCTCTTTCCATCCCCCTGCAGTCCCCTGCCTCTCCATCCCAAAACTGCTCCCAAGTCTGTCCCAAGGACAGACTTCCATCGCAAGGGTGGAATTGCACCTTCTTCACCGATGGGAGTACTTCAGTCAGTGGGATGAGCTAATACAATATGTATTTAAAAAGTCACAGTCTATACAGCAAAACAAAAACACATATCAATTGAACACAAGATTCATGCAGAAGTTGTTGGTTAACATTCAATCAAGCAAACTAAGAAATACTTACAAGGTCATTCATATTGGTCTGACTAGCTGGATGAATTTCTTCCAAGAACTCCAAGACATAAAATGTATACCTGTCCATCAAATGCACTCCAATTCCAAGATCTGGTTGATGCTTGAAAATGAAAACACATGTTATTATTGAATATGCTATTATTGAATATGCTTCTTGACCTGGCACTCTCAGCCAGCAGTACAGAAATAAGATTTAGTAATGAGGACTGAACAAATGCTTATAGCTGTCCATTGTTGATAGCCTAATTATATGAAGAGTGTCCAAAACAAGATGGCTATTAATTTGGGAAAGCAGAGAAAATATAGATAGGGCAGGTCACCAACACCAGCAGCTATATGTCCAACCAAACATATTGTTAAACCTATGAAAAAAATATGTGGTAGATGGTGCTATGCATGTATATATCTATATTAACAACATAGCTTTTATTTTTGGCATACCTATGGCACTACTTTAAAATTAAAAACAGTGCTGTCAGTATCGATAATCTCATTAATTTTATTATTTTACATTTTGTTTGATTGAATACATTGTGTTTTATCTTATTATAATATTTAACTGTATTATTTTCATAGAATCATAGAATAGTAGAGTTGGAAGGGGCCATGAAGGCCACTGGGTCCAAGCCCCTGCTGTTACAGGACACCAAGTCACACCATCCACTCAGATGGCTGTCCAGTTTCCTTTTGAACATAGCTAGTATACGTTCCTTTTGAACGTACGTTCCTTTTGAACGTACCTATCTGGCCAGGGCAACTTATTTTATATTGTTATTTCTTGTATTTTAATTTTCTGTTGTGAGCCGCCCCGAGGCTTCGGCAAATGGGGCGGCATAGAAATGTTTAGATAGATAGATAGATAGATAGATAGATAGATAGATAGATAGATAGTGTGGGAAAGCCCACCACCTCTCTGGGCAGCTGTTTCTGCTGTTGTATTGCTCTGACAGTGAGGAAACTTTTCCTGATATCTGGATTGGAGCAGCTTGAATTGATCATTCTGTGTCCTTCACTCTAGGATCAGCAAGAAGAGATCTTGACCTTCCTGTTTGTAACAGCTTTTGAGGTACTTATGCATGCTCTGCGCATGCTCTGCACTATTCTACATAAGGTACTTTTTGTGCACTTGTCAGCAACTGCATAGGGAATGACAGGTTCTTTGGACAATGTCATGACCCTCCAGCTTAATATTGGTTTTTAACCAGTACTGTGGGTGAGGGTTTGGTTTTTAAGCAGTTACAATGGAATAATTTTTATAAAAGCAAAAGAAAATGTTATTTCTATTATACAGTATAGTGGAAATGTTAGTATAGCACCATCTAGTGGATATGCAGCTGAACCAGTAAAGAGCTTTATGTGGTGCTCAGATTTCAATTCTGTGAGAATACAAAAAGTAGATAGAGCAGATTAACAGCTTTGCATAGAAAAGCTCACTCTATCTTTAAAAAGAGGCTCAAGACTGTCCTAGTCTCTAAGCAATCTTTCATGTATTCGTCTTATTCAAGTATTTCAAAAATATTGGTTGTACTTTCCTAAACACCACTGGGAGAGGAGAGGACTGAGACAAAAACATATTCATTCTTGCAATTATGACATACTTGACGTTGCATGGTTCCTGGTAAATGACTGGACAGAGTCCAGGAAAAGGTTTTCACTGACAGTGAACACATGATTATTTCAAGCAATTTTCCCCATCCACAACCCAGTACTTCCACCTGCATTTAAAAATTAATTATCTACTAAAGTAACAAAATTATTACTTTAAATAAAGCATTTTTTCCACTGGAAAACTAGCATGTGCCACCAAAATGAAATAATCCTATTAAAAACATACTGCCACTAAATTTGGAATCATATATTAAATTTCAGACCTCCTCATCTATTTATTGCTAATACACAGTAAGCTATATACTTACTGAAAGCGAATCTTCTCCAACTTGACTACTAGCCAAAGCCATTATATTGGGAGAATAAAACCGTTCATACATAGATGCACCTTGGCATGTATCAATGATAAACAGTAACTCATTGTACCTGGAAAGAAATACACATCTTTTATGTCCAAGTCAATTGCTCACTTTGTAGCTTTGATTAGGAGCCAACTGCTTGCACATTTTAAGCATTCTACAGCTATCAATTGCAAACAACAACAACCCTTCAGAAAGAAATTAAGGTCCTTTCTAATGGGTAAAAGATTTCTTATTTTTCCTGTCAATAACAGATTTCTTACTATTCATGCTGTCCTATAAACAAAAAACTATTTCAAAGCAGCAGTCAACTCAAAGGCCACCCCATGCCACAATCCAATATGCTATTAAAGGACACAGTTCATCTTATCTTCACCCATTTTATCATTATTAAACAAAAACATGGGGAAATTGTAGACTACCAGTTTTAATCACCCTAGGTAAAACAGGAGAGAGAGTAAAAATGCAAAAAAAATGTGCATCAATACTTGAAGTTATTCAAAAAATCTGAGAAAACAGATTACCTCCTTTTCTGCCACATTTGCTCAAACGCATCAGCAAGTTCTACATTTGTAATTTCTTCAGAATCCTGGAATTTCAAGAATCCATTCCCACCATGGCCTTATGAAGAAAAAACAAAGTAACAGACACACTTTAAAGAAACATTTTCTTTAAACTCAGAACAATACATCCACACCAAACCAACTATGTATAAACATTGTTTCATTCAGCATCTGGATAAAGGAGGTTAAGCAGTAAAAGAAAGAAACAATCCAAGACATATGCTGAGAATGGCTCTGTCCACCAGCATTTAGCCTCAGCAAGCCCATCACTCAGACAAAGTAATGGCTAAAGTCTGTGTTACAGACTGGAATCCTTTTCTCCCACTGAAACACCACCACTATCCATTCTACACATATGGATACACACTAGACAAGAAAGATCCTTTGATATTTTATTATGGGTTTATAACTTGTTTCATGTATGGGTCAAAGGAGTAAAAGAGAACTGGTGGCTAACGGACCACAGAGAGTGATATGAGATATCTGAGAACCTCAACTTTCATTATAAAGAACTTTCAGGAGTTCAGACCTAAATGTGAACACACAATGGCAGTATGCACTGAAAAGACAAGCAGACGTCAGATCTATTCAGTTGTATCCAGTGATGCCCTTCTCACAGAAGCAACTCTGTGGAATCGGGGAGATTTCCCCTCCCTGCTACAGGCCCCGTGTGCCTCACAACCTTCTGGTTGGAGCCGTAGTGAGACAGCTGTGAAGAATAGGGGCTCCCGTAAATCACGCCAGTAACTTGTTCGACAGTGAGCTGTGAGAGGCTCATCCAAGCCCTGTTGGGGCAGGGAACAGAAGCCCGAGCGTACTTCTGGCTGATTTGGGGCGGTGGCTCCACATTTACTGGGAGAAACTCAAGATTTTCTCAATCGAACAACACAAGGGAGAGATCTGCTCCCTGCAAGCCATAGACAACTGGATATAGCATAGAACAACAGCCTGAAGTGCATCAGACCTGCTGGGTGAGCATTTCTACCTTTTCAAATACTACCCGTGAAAAAACTTGAAGCAAATACTAATCGGGATAAAGAAAAAAGAAAAGCCCTCTTGATGGAGGGAGGAATTCCCCCCCGCTCTCCCGCGGAGTTTAAGCTGCGACTAATCTAGGGGAGAGGAACTGAGATCTGGAAAAAATATGCAAATTCTTTTGACAGCTGGAATTATCAAATTGAAAATAATGTTGGCCTATGAACCAAACTGTAGGCTGCAGCATACATTACATGCATAATGGTTATACGCATTCTAAATAAGTAAATATGCAGATTAACAAATGACTTTCCATTTTATGGCTATATTACATGTACATTTGAAAGAAGGCCACCAAAATCAGCATTTTGGAAATGTTCTGTGATACACATTTTTCTAGGTTTAATATATTCAACATATCACTCAAGTTGATAAAACAAACAGATTTAGCTTATTTTGCAATTAGTCTAACATAAATTTTCATAAGTCCATTCAACATACTAGAGAAAAACCAGACAATAAAAGGAGAAGAAAAAAATTACAAAACTGCAGCTGTCATACTTAGGACACTTTACGAGAAGGCAAGACTCACTGGAGAAGACAGTCATGTTAGGGAATGTCAAAGGCTGAAAACAAGATTGATGGAATCTATAAAGGTAGCCACTGCCTTGAACTTGGAAGAGTTCGATGGAGCTGTAGTGGACAGGACATTTTGGAAGGCTTTCAAACATAGGGTCACCCCTAAGTTGGAGACAACTTGCTAGCACACAAAAACAACTTACAGCACAAATGGAGACAGGCCTGTTTGATAAGCACTACTCTAATTTTGTACTGGCAATTACCATGGAAAACATTGAAGAAAAAATATTCACCTGTCATATATATGAGAATATTGCTTCTGTCATCAGAAAGCAGACGCTTTGAGCGAGGGGCACTTGCTGGGATTCTGCTTGTTAATACTCGCAAAAAATTTTCGACAGTAACCTAAACATAGAAACACATTCTAACTATCATACAGATCAGGTTCTTAAAATAATAATCCAGTAAAGCATGCAATATTGATCATTAACAGATCAATAGATTGGGCTACATTGCCAGACTTCATTGCCACCAAGAATGATGTTTCTCTTCTGTCCACTGAATGCAATACTTTTTATTACAGTAACTTATGCTATCTAGCACATGTCTACCACTATTCCAGTTTTTGTAATATACCTCCACTGATTTGAGTACCTCTCACACTGTGTGGCTTTATCTGTGCAAATTATATTCCTTATTTGCTTACCCAGCAACGTTTCTGCATGTTTCCATGGCAAAATGTTAATACACATTTTAAAGCTTAAAATCCCTGAGAGACTCAGAGAGCTATGGAAACATCTGATCAGAGATTCTCCATCTGGCCAGCAAATGGGGGGAAATCATAAAGTACCACATTTGCAAGTCCTGAATAAAGATTTATGAGGCTCAAAAAGTGCTCATGTACTTGTGCTTATGACAGCTGTTAACCAAAAAAAACTTCTCAACATGTACATTATAGCAGATAACTCTCCTTCGAATGAGATTAAAAGATTCAGACACCAAAATTAAACTAAACTTTCTGGTACATTTCTTCTAAAAATGTTGTCTCTTAACTGCAAAGCCAAGATACATCTCCCATTTGCTAAGGGAAGTGTAAATTCTTGCAACAGGCCATTATAGTACCTTTAAGATACATCTGGGGTCAGAATTTATAACAATGTCCAAAGGGAAGAATATTTAATATGCTAAAGGTTTTGATATCAGAATACCTGAAGTACTCTCATTACTAAATAACTTTATGGTTTTCTAAGCAATTTTGTATTATATCCAGCTTTCTGTTGAATATGTTGAATAACAGCTCTGTAACTCAAGAATTTGCATACTCTCACCAAGTGAAGTCAATTGACTTATGATTTATTCCTTTCCTAATTTTTATCGTCTTCTCTTTTTCTAGAACTCATACAGCAGTAAGCCTTCACATAAATAAAGATTACCTCTTGCAATAAAAAATAATAATCTAGGCATGTTATCTTACAAAAACACATTTTAAAACCATTAGGTTTGTGTTTTTTAAGACAGGCTTAAAAATAGTCCCTTGCTTGGCATTTCTAAAATAATAATGATTTTTAAAAGGACCAATTCTAGGTGATAAGCATGGCAAATTTGGGAGGTGATTCTTCTTCCAAATAATCAATGTGCCCAAATAATGAGGTTGTATTATATGTGAGCTGGCAATTTTTTAAAGCATTTGTTTTCAAAATTTATTTAAATTGTTTCAGAAAGCCAGCATCAAAATCTGTTATCCTTCATTTTGGTAATGAAATGGCAATGAAGTTTAATAAAGAACAGTTCAAATATAAATTTGAAGTATGTACAAAATGCTGCTTATTCTAAATTTTTATTGTAAAAAATAAAGGTTTTAACATAGCAATGCTGCAATATGCAAAAACCAAACTCTTCCTGTAAAATCCTCTTCCAAAGATTACATATATTCAATAAGCATATTTTAATATGTTTTCAAGATTTTGTTTTTCAAGATTTAGAGGACTGACTTTTGTTCAACACCCAAAGCTATTAGCCTTAAGAACAATTCCCTCTTGGTTGTTGGGACGATTGGCACATTCTGAAAAGGGAGACTATTAATACTCACTTATCCTTTTCAACCTACTGGTGGGTCCCAGCCCACCAAGTGGGAAACACCACATTCAAAATTTGCTTAATATTTTACCTCATAACTCCTGTAATCCACTTCCACATCATCCCCATAGACATTCAGATCCATATTTTTGTGACTAAACACAGTAGCTGGGTTTGGATTCCGTGGGTTGCAGGCCATATCATCTGCTAGCATCAAGACAATATGACTGGCATGGGAAAAATAAATCAGAATTATACAATTGGGATCTGAGCTCCCAAAACAATTATAGCCAAAAAATGGAAGTTATAAAATCTACTTTCTTTGAAAGGCACTTTAGCTATTTTAATCCTATTTTATTTGCAAGATTTTGGTAACTAAGTGAATGTAGAGAGAACAAAGAACTACCTTTAAAAGTTAATTAGGGTGATGTTATTTGGACAGAGTCTAGCCAATACTGCATTTCACAAATGTAATGACAGTTTAGGAAAGGGTTTGTGTTGGTGTTGCTGTTTTTAAAGCTAGCCAAGTCATCCTTAAAATAAATCAAAATGGAACAAGCAGTTATTTTTGTGTTGCCCACTTAGCTGCTTCATCACTGCAATGTTACTAGCATGTTGCTAGAGTGGGGAGGGAATAAAGTTCAATAATATAACACATGCTTTTTATGTAGAAAGTATCTGGTCCAGTCCCTGACACCTCTGGTAAAAAGGAGGAAAGTTCTCTGCCTGAGGTCCTAGGAAGCAAATTATGCTGGGCTAGATGGGCAAATAATCTGGCCAGGTATAAAGCATTCCTTCCTACATCCTTATGATGGCATCAGGGCCAAACATAGGAAAGCTAAATTCAGATCCCTGCTAGATCACAAAATAGCCCTGCTCCTGTCTCTTTCTGTTCAACTTATACCAGTAACTTTTTAATTTATTTTAATGGTATATATGCCTTCTCTTAATACAAATTCAGATCATCACACATATACACTCAGATTCTCAATCCAAGAAAAAGTCATTTCTTGGTCCTGAAAATGGATCCTGAAAAAATGCATGCTTATAATGTTATTTCTAATATTTCCTTGGGTAGAGAACCACAAGCAAGAGAAGAGAATACAAGAAGGTGTGAGAAGGGCAACACTGTTGGAAGAATGAATGCCAGAAGAAATATTAAGCAATCTGTACTGTGAAAAAATGCTACAGATACTATAAAATGATTGAACATTGGTTTTTACTCTCTAGACATAACTATGATACACACAGCCAATGGGCAACATGGAAGCTGGTCCATGATCTCAACACTAAACCAGTTTGGCCAGGAGATGGAGTGGTGAACAGCCAATGCCCAAATCAGTTGAACGACAGTGATTATGTTGCACAACAACCCATTCCTCACAAAACACAGTATTCCATTGTTAAGGGTAAAACCATAATTTATGCAGGCATTTTACTTATTTGAGACTTTTTTCTGCATTGCAGCTTTCTTTTTCTTTTGATTTGCCAAACCAAGCCAGGAATAAGAGTAAGCACAGTTATTCTGCATCTTCGCATGGTATAACCAAATAAAGACCCCCCCCCCCACTCCAATCCTCACTAGATAAAGACATTTCATTGCATGTTATCAATGCCGGAGTCACTTTGGACCAAATTATCAAGACTGTTTGGACATGTACAAATAACTTTAGGAATTTGGGTCATACTCTGCTCTGAGGCACCTTACAATGCTTCTTTACAACACAGGCAATGCATTGAGAACACTTGATATAATCACTATGAAACAGTCAACATCAGATTATCAGAATAGCAACACTCAGAACTGGGGAATGTAAGCACCTGACCCAGCAGACTATCACAACCACATTGCAATAGCATAACAAGGCAACATATTACACTTGCAAATGTTGCCATTTTCTGACAGATCACCAAACCTCCCACAACTGATGCCTCCAGATGTTAGTCCCAGCCACTTGGGGCATAGGAACGGGTGTCATAAGTACAGGTTAGGGGACAAGTGGGTGGAGAGCAGCACTTGTGAAAGGGATCTTGGGGTACTGGTTGATAGCAAGCTCAACATGAGTCTGCAGTGTGATGCATTGGTCAAGAGGGTAAATGCCACCCTTGGCTGCATACCCAGAAGCATTGTTTCTAGATCAAGAGAGGTACTACTACCACTCTATACAACTCTGGTGCACCCACAACTGGAGTATTGTGTTCAGCAGAGGTTGAGGTGGCTAGGTGGGGTCACCGGGGTGGTATGTATGGGGTTGGGTACACTCTGAGTGATGGTGCAGGATAGGAGAGCTTGGAGGAATATTGTCCATGGGGTCAGGATGGGTCAGGCACAACTTTGTGACTAAACAACAACAAGGACATGGCTAATGCAGTAAGATCCCTAGGGCAATGAGGCAGTGTCCATCCCACCCAGTGCAGAAAGGTTTCTAATTTTGCCTTACAAAACACTGATAGAAAAGAGCAGGTCAACAGGCCATTGGAATGCAGAAGCAAACTCTCCCGTGGACCTTAACTAAAGCTTTCATCCAGCTACATTTTTAGAAAGGAAAAAAAATCAATAGTCATGCTTCTAATAATTACTACAGTATTTTGAGGTGCTAGTCACTATTAAAAACTTTTGTTGTTTGGGATATTCTCTTTAGATACATGCTTAAAATTGTATCATTGTATTCTGGATTAATCAAGAATGTGCATTTTTCCACATGTATACTCCTGTACACATAAACAGGGCTTAACACAGGTTTGATATACACAAGTATTTAGCCAAAATGTTTCCAGTAGAAGCTATATCTCCAGTTTATATAAACATCTTATTGAACAAGAAAAATATCCCAATTCCAAACCAAGAAGCAGCTAACTGATTAGGATAAATAAACTGGTGAAAGTAAACAATATCCAAAATTGTCTGATAAGGTAAGTTTATCTCTCCAGGCTAAAAACATCCAGTCAAATGCAACAAAGCATAATCAAAGCATACCTCATGTAATTCAGTAGCAAAATACCAAAAGCAACCATGTTCAGCATTTTAACAACACCTGTATGAGTACCACCAATTCTGAAGAATATGGTCTGAGGAGTTGGAGTACTTCAGCAGAAGTATACATTCATTTTTATAGCCATTTTACACTTTAATGAAAAATTTTGATTTTAGAGCAAGATATCTTTCATGTACAGAATTCACTGAAAAGAAGGTCTGCCCTTGTACAAATGCTTGATGTTAATAAATGTCATCTTCAGATCAGACACCGTCCTTGAGCAAAATACCCTTTGTATTAATACTCTAGTTGCATGAAAAGTTAAAAAAGAACAACTGTTTTCTGTATGTTCCTTTTTAGCATTAATGTTTAATGTATAAAAGCTGACTGCTACATTCTAATTGTACATTACAACAAAATTGACTGAGATGATGCAATCTCTGTGCTGATTACTGGCTGTCCAAATGCAGAACTATCAAAAGGCAAGACTATGGCTAAAAATTTAGTTTCTGAAAAAAAGTAACTGGTTTCAGATCACCTCTGACTCACACAGTGCTTTTGAAAATGCTTTGAATCTTCAAAGACCATGGCAGGAAGCCTTGACAAGAGGCACACTTCTATACACAGAACCTCTTCTCTCTCCAAATAGCCTCTGTGTGCGCAAATGTTTTGTTATTAACAAGTGGCTTAGATTCCAGCAGTACCTTTAGCTTACTGCCAACTGATCTTTTAATTTTATTAATTAGACTGAAACCTTTTTCTAATTACGACAATGTGTTTTCTATTGAATTCAGCCCAAAGGCAGTGTTTTATTCCATTAGTCACAGCTTCAAAAGTAAGATGTAACAATGTATATGAAACCAAATTCAAAGGATCTTGTGTAACTGCAGCTTCACTGAAGCTTCAACAGCAAACCAGAATTATGCCTGCAAAAAAGTAGAAATACACTTACTCCAAAGTGATAGGAAATCATCCTGACCAATCCTTCCATAAAGTTCCTATCATTAACTTCATTATATCGGTTTCAGAGGTTTACAATATCCTTGATTATTTCCAGCTTTAATCTAATCCTACCATCCAAAAATAATGAGAAGTATAAATATAATGCTACTGTTGTTTTAATCAATGTAAATAGATCAGGAATGAGCTATGGTGGGGTCCTCAGACAAAGTACCTCTGAGCACCATGGTACTTTTGGCTACCTCCAATGGCACTTCTGATTATTCTCCAACATAGTGCCTATGGACAGCTGGAAAATATTTAATTTTGAAAAAATAATGCATTTTTAATCTTTTAAAAAATTAAGCATGGATTTCTATGCTTAATGAGCAGTTAGACAACTTTTTTAAGCTTTAGAAAATTAGGTCAAATAAGCAGATATGCATCTAGTTGAAGAAGTTGTCTATATGCATTACAAAAGATGTTTATCATTCCAGTGTTGTAAGATCAGTCATCTAGCTGTCAAAAGGGCAAAGAATCCATTTACACTAGCTATGTCATTATTTCCATGAAGCAATATAATTGAAAAGAACATGTGTAACAGTGAACATTAAAGACTGTTGTAGTACAAAATATATCTGTGCAGTAACCTCCCTTCAAAAAGAAGCAGCTACTATAAATAGAGAAAACAAATGTTCTTAAAAATGATTAGCTGCATTGCATTGCCAGCAATTAGATGAATTAGAAAATCCCCTATTAAAGAAAAAGTGCAGCTGACAGGAAACAAAAGATGTTGCTGAAAAGTATGAATCAGATAGACACTAATGTAGCAATCTACTGATTACACATTTTCTGGTTCCACTCACAGCAATTTCTCAAATTCCCCAGAGTAACCATGGCTCTGATAAGTTTGGAGACTCTGAACTATAGGCTTGTGCATTTCTTCCACGTTCTTGGCTAACCATGCCTCGCATTTACATCTGCACCAGCATTAACTACAGTTAGTGCTAAATATATCGATTCCCACTTAACTACAACATGGAAGCTTTCCACAAAGCCTAGCCATAGTTAGTGCCAGCACACACATAACAATAAGCCTTATCAAAAGCTGTAAAAGCAGAGGGAACATAGGAAGCTCTCTTATACTCAGTCAGACTATTGCTCCATCTAGTCTAGTCTAACACTGACTTGGTTTGTGTGATCAAATAGCCCATGCTAGTGGCCATTTTGAATATTCAGTGCCCACCCAAAACTTACCATGTTGCGCGAACATGGAGACCATGGGTTACATGCACATTCAACTACCTCATAAGTCAATGCGAGCAGCCTAGTGTTATTTCCTGCAATAGCAGGAAGGTTGGACTCGATGGCCTGCATGAGCCCTTCCAACTCTTCTATTCTATGATTTCTTAGTGTTTCATAGTGAACTGCACCAATGTTTAATGCACAACTGTGAGGGGAGCATGGCAAATACACCCAATAGCAGGATGTCTCTGTTCAGGAACTGCAAAAGGAACAGTCAATCCATAGTGAAGTCAGGACACCCTCCTGTCTGCAATGACTAAGTAATGCATGTGACCCTAGACAAAGCATCTGTTTGAGATCAAGGAGTTTATTGCTCTTTTGACATATAAGCAGATGTCCTTCCACCACTTTTGCAGCAGCATGGAAAGAACTACACTGGTTGCTTCTCCAGGGCAATAAAAGCAACCTTGGAAAAGGGATTTAGTGGGCATTCCAAGGTAAGAGGAAAAAACTGGCACTGCCAAGATATGAGGTATCCTCATGTTGCCTCAGGATCTTTCCCTCCAACGCCAAACTGCTTTGTAGGGCAGAAAGTATGCAGTAGCACCCTTCTCCTTCATCCTCTTACTGATCTGCATAGGATGCTCATAAAACTCAAAGGTGGGGATTACATGAGCGGCGTGAGCTGGAGTTGGGGGTCAGACTAGATGAACCGGGAGGACCTTCTGACTCACTTTTTTTCTGTTTCATTAGATTACACTCTAGAAGATGCTGAAAACTAGTAACTTTGGGGCTTTTGTATCAAATCTATCTTGAATCATAATACATTCACAAATATTAATTTTCTGTTATTACACTTTAAAAAACTAGCATTGATAAATATTCTACTTCTGATCCTCTTTCAGTAAGGAGAAAACAAAAAGCATATTCCAATGTTTTCTACACAAGCAACACTGAAATGAATAGGAGTAGTGCAAAAGCATTACTTGCTCTTAAATTCTTCTCAGTGGAGCCTGGGTAATTTTACCAGTGGATTAAAAATACTTAATTTTGCATTTTTCCTTTCTCTCAGAAGTCATTCTCCATATTTTCTTACCTATCAGGAATTCCTAGTCTCTTGACACTTCTGTAGACTGAAAGAGTATTGGCCACATGCCGATAGTTAAACCAGAATCGAGATGTGCACACCTAAAAAGATTTTTTAAAATGTATGCATATATTAGTTAATACTAATTAAATTTCTTATGTGCCTCTATGGGAATTGTCCATGCCCAGTACTTCTACCACATATGAGGGATTTTCTCTTTAGCATGGCTAGCAACTATGGGGAAACAGCTCCCTAAATGAGCAGCTTTACCTATGGCATTTCCTATTTCCAGCAAATGTTTATATTCAAGGACCTAAAGAACTCTCCACTAGTATTACTCAGTATAACTTCCTCTGGCTGACCCTTTTTGTCACCACCAATTATCTAAGAATATTTTAAAAGTTCCTAGTAACCTAATACAAGAGGCTGGTATTCCCTAAGAATATTTTAAAAGTTCTTAGTAACCTAATACATGAACTGGACACCAGCACTAAAGAACAGATGAACTGTGAAACCATTTAATTGCACTGGCATCTGCCTTCCTGTTCTTTATGGGTTGGGATTCTATCCAACCCAGTGCAATCCACCAATCCCTTGCAAGAGATAAAACCAACTGCATGCACCAAGAGGCCAATTATGTTTCTTTCTGGTAGCAACCACTCATGCATCCTAATCATAGAGTTGAAAAGGTAGATAAAAGTTTTAGATAGTTACCAAAACTGCCCAGTTGTTTGTGTGTCCACTTCTAAAAAATTGTTCCGCTTGATCCTGGAGGCAAAACATACGAAACTTTTGCAGGAAAACTTAAGACTGACTGTTGCTTAAAAGAATCATATTTATACAAGAGTAGTTCGTCATCAAAATCATCTTTATCAAAATCAAAAATTAAAAGGTCTAGTAGTAGTTTATTTATTAGATTTGTTTGAAAACCTCTCATGAGCATTGAGCATTCTGGGCAGCCAAGTAGTTGCAAAACATTCCAATAGATCTCATGTTATGAGTGAGACTATGGACAAGTCCAGAATTTAGCATAAACAAATACTTAAAACCTGAAGAAGTTACCCATTTTAAACTGGGTCAGACATGAAGATGCTTATAACATTACAATGTAAAAAAAACTGGCAATTAAGATAGAAGCAGGAATATAAAGAATGGAGGAAGAAAGGTAAGCAATGGTTCCTACTTCCCTCTAATCTAATCTCTTCCAACTTTCTGCCTCTCAAGCTGCTTTTGGATTTCTCAAAAGACATTGCTTGCCTAGAGATGCAAAATGTCTTTAACATTTGAAGCCATGGGGGTGGGAGAGGAAAATTTTTCTGGGTTTTTCGATGCAGAAACTTGAGGGGACTGAAGACTGGAATGTATGCAATACACGCTTTCTTATCAAACCTAACATTACTTTATTGCTTTAACATAAAATGCATCATCTATGGCCAGTTACCATACACAGGTGTACTAACTGGCAAATATATTTTACAGAGTGCTCCTATGCATGTTAACTCAAAAGTAAGACCCACTTTGTTTAGCGGAGCTTCTTTCACAGGATTGCCACCCCAAAGTATAAATAGAAACACGCTGAGTCTTCCAGAGAGAAAGAGAGAGTAGTGGGGAAAAGGGACAGGGATGGAAGGAATGATTGCTTATTTCAGTTAAAGAGTTTTACCCTAAATATTAGTAAAAATGCTGTTGAAGGAGTTTGCAGATGATAAAGGCATTCCTTGTCCACAGATTCACAGTCTAAAAACACACTGTGTTGTCCAAAGCTTACAATTAGAAAAGGTACGGCATGAGAAAAAAGCCAATGTCCCCAGTGTCACTGTGCAGAGAAAGCATAAAAGAGGAAGCAGCTGAAAACCACGTGTATATCACAGATTGTACACAGCTTTTGAGAAATGTGTCCCACGGGATGTACAGCTGCCAAGACTTCCGACTTTCTCTCGCCATTAGAGGAGGAGGGTTCTCCCAACTCGGTTGCCGCCTCTCCTTAAAAGCGACAGCATGCGAAGGAAGCACGGACAGAGTAAATGAGTAGAAACTACAACCGACTCATTTTGGAATAGCAACTGCCCCCACTAGTTCAAGTAAAGACAATTCGGTCTTAATGGGTCCAAGAGTGTGAGGATCTTAATGGGTCCATCCTCATGCGAGCATGAGGATCAGCAGCTGTCTCCAGCCATTTGCTTTCCTTTTCCTCGGCGAATCCAGGCAGTGGTCAGCATCAGATCGGTGGCTCGAGGGGACAATCCCCTCTGCTGCGCCAACCAGAGGTGGGAAGACGAGCAGCCAGAACAAGGGGGCAATTCTCTGTCTGCAAAAGGTCGTTCGAAGGCTGTCAATCCTTCTAGCACCCAGGTGTAACTCACTACTCTCAGCTTGCTCATTCTCTCTCACTCCTGGCAGGGCTGGACTGTCTGGGGGAGTAGAGAAAGGCAGCTGAGAATGACGGCCCTTCAAAGCAGGTTCCGTAAGTTTGAAGCGGCTCTGCAACTGGCTCTCGTGCATACGAGTAGCCATTTCGCTACTTCCCCCAAACGCGCCTGTTATCAAATTGAGCTCAGGTTTTCTTTTCGGCCCGAGAGCCTAAGGTCGGTTTCCATCCAGGAGAAATCCTTCCAGGGTCACATGAAGAGAAACCACCGGAGAAGAATATCCAAAGTTAGTCCGACTGAAGTTTCGAAACATTTATAGGAATGGGACAGGTCTGTCATGCCTAACCTAAATCCCATTCATTTAATTGCCCTTCCGTTAAGTAGGACTAACATTGGATACAGCCCCAAATTTTTAAAGAAAACTCATATGCACGGCGGGAAAGAAAACATAGAAGGGACAAGCAGCCCCCACCGTCGCCTACCTGCACGCCATCAGCAGTCGCTAAACTAAAGCAGCTTAATAAAAGAGGGATCACTGCTGCTAGACAAAGCCGACACTGAAGTGGTATGGAGGCAGCCATATTAAACAGCTCTCGCGACCAGGAAGGAGGAATAGTATTGGTTACAACGCTCCTTGAAGCTCCTCCTCCTTCTTAAAGGCTCCGTGTTCGACTGCTGGCACAAACACTCATCTGCATAGAATATCGTTCAAGGTTCATTCATTTATTTATTTTTCATTGCTCCCATGTCCCAGTTGCACGAAGGAACGACCAGTCAGTTCAAAACCGTGGTTTTTGGATGGATGGCTAAGGGCATCGGCTAAGTTTTGGACTGGGATGCTGGAAACAAGGCCACGAATGATGGGAGTTGTTTGAATTGCCCAATTCGTTTCTCAGTGCCAAAATTCAGAAACGCAGGTACACTAAGGTTGTACAGTCAAAATAAATTGCAATTTATTTGGATATCCAAGATATATGCATGCCTGGAGGAATGTTGTCCATGGGGTCGCGATGGGTCGGATGCAACTTTGCAAGTAACAACAAAAAGTCTGCAAGAGACAACAAAATACTGTACAAAATATTTATAAAGTTATAACACTAAGTTGTAGAAAATACTTTTATAAGGTTTCAGTTGTGGGAGCCACATAACACTCTAAACTTCCTATTAAATAAAAAGACAAAGAGAAAAGGAAATAAAAGATTCAAAACAGATGAATATCTGCATATGAAAATTTACCCAGAATGAGGAAACCAGAATGATCACTTTGCTGCCTAAAGCAAAGTAAAAGCTGTCCATCCCGAAGCCAGACTAGCAACCTTGGTACCTTCTTAACAAGGTGTTGCTTCTCTTGACAAGATTGGAATATCCATCTTGTCAGTTGCAGGCTGATCTTGTCAGTTTCGCACTTTCTGCAGCAATCATGGCAGAGCTTTAGTTCAGTAAGCCAAAAGCCTGTTGACCCCATAATAGTGTAAAAACCTACGTTTTCAATTTATACACACAGAATGAGATTCAATCTAGACAAGACAGAGGTACTTTGTGCTTGGTCCTCCCAGCTAAGTAATATTCAATCCGTTTGAGAGGGGGCTGTGTTCCTCTTAAAGGTTTGTAGTGTGGGATGCCATTGGCTCCAGCAGGATGACTCAGTGTCATGGTGCTTAGCTACATGTAGTCATACTTTGTGAACCTCTCATCTGGATGGCTGCAAACAGAACAGTGAGATTATCAGACAGGAATGGCCAGTATGATTATATTATGCCCATACTTTTCCATCTGCACCAGCTGCTCCAGTTTCAGGCCTGATTCAGATACTGCTCTTATCATTCATTGCCCTAAAGAGAAAATTTCAACCTAAAGAGTTTGGAGTCAGGTTTCCTGAAGGATTATCTCTCCCCATGTATACTTGCTTGGGCCTTAAGTTCATCTTTACTTCATTTGCTACAAAGTCAGTGTTTCATCATGGGATTGTCTCTTTCCTTGGTAGATTTAAAGTTTTTAAGGTCTGTCCTGGAAAATGCTTTTATAACATAATCCTAGGCATGTTTTCTAAGAATTAAGCCCCTTATTCTCAAGGAAGTATGTATAGAAATGTAGCCTTACAGAGCTATCCTACTTGTGACAGGGCAGGGGAATTTAGTAGTGGACAATTCCCCATTTTCAAAGTCCTCTTATCTTTCTGTAGCCAGGGAGGCACGTGGTTATTTTTCATTTATCCTGTGGAACTGTATTTTATTAATTTCCCTTACATTATTTCCAATGAGAAAAAAGATTTATGCCAGCTCAAGGCTTAGAGATGAACCCCACTCTATGCTAGGGAATGAGAAACTATTGAGTCTACGTTTCTTTTATAATAAAAATTGAACATATTTTAAGCTTTTGATAAATTAATGCCTCTTTTCAAAAACATATTCTTTTCAATAAAAATCCTTTAAAACATAGCAATAGAACCTCTGTACAGAACATACAATCAGTATTTAAAGCTGAATTTGGCAGAGTGATTTTCCTGGTACAATTGCTTATTAATATTATTTTAATTGCAGTCAATGTTCACTGTAAGTATGCAAATTCCCTTCAAATGAACAATTATGTTTTTTATGGGACCAATTTGAGGTTTTAATTAAAGGAAATAAGTAGTGAAGAAAGGAATAAGCCAGTTTAGGTGACTGGTAACAGGATTTAAATTATCTGTTAAATATTTGTTTCCAGAAAAAAGAAAAGCAGCTAGTCATGATGAACTTTTACCCACAGGGAATGAAAATGTGAGCCCCCTCCCCACAAAAAAGAAAAAAGTAGGCATTATTTTTGTGTTCCAAATAAATCTGCAGATAGATTTTTCTTCCAGTGAGTTGCTTGTACTGTGTATATAAGTTAGTGCACCTGAACATCTCCCAAGAAGAGGAAATAGAGGTCACAAAAAGATCACAGATTTGCATAATATTTTCATATTCTGCTAATGTATATTCTGTAAAGAAACAGAACTGTCTTCCATTTTTTTATTTTGTTTGCTTTGTGGAAATTATGAACATAAATTTTGTGTGTGTGATGCTCATTGTCAGTCAAAAGTTCAAAAGTGTAGTTAGAAAGTATAGGAGCCAGGATATTTGCTCAGGAAACCAAAGGTTTACCAAATGTTTAACTCTGAAGTTATTTAGATACAGCAGCCAAGGTATCTGCAAAAGAAGAAGAAATCCACCAGTCTCTTCTCCTTCCCACATATGGATATGTACAGACACAAACTTACAAATGATTGTTGTTGTTAGTTGCGAAGTCGTGTCCAACCCATTGGAATGCCATGGCCAACATTTCTCCAGGCCTTCCTGTCCTCCACCATCCCCCGGAGTCCACTTAAGCTCATGCCGACTGCTTCATTGACTCCATCCAGCCACCTCATCCTCTGCCGTCCCCTTCTTCTTTTGCTGTCAATTGTTCCCCGCATTAAGCTCTTCTCCAGTGAGTCCTTCCTTCTCATTAGGTGGCCAAAGTATTTGAGTTTCATCTTCTGTATCTGGCCTTCTAAAGAGCAGTCAGGGTTGATCTCCTCTAGGACTGACCAGTTTGATTGCCTTGCAGCCCAAGGGACTTGCAGGAGTCTTCTCCAGCACAATTCAAAGTCCTCAATTCTTCGGCGCTCAGCTTTCCTTATGGTCCAGGTTTCACAGCCATACATTGCAACTGGGAAAACCATAGTCTTGACTATATGCACTTTTGTCGGCAGGCTGATGTCTCTGCTTTTTACTATGCTGTCTAGAATTGCCATAGCTTTCCTCCCAAGGAGCAAGTGTCTTTTAATTTTTTGACTGCAGCCACCATCTGTGGTGATCTTGGAGCCCAGGAAAATAAATCTGTCACTATTACAAATGATTACAGTAACTTAAATAGAAATATAATATATTGCACTATAGCAGACGAAGAAACTGTCACCAGGTGATCTCCATGCGTATTCTTCACCCTGCTGTGCAGAATCTATTGATGGGCAACTTCAAAGCCCTGCTTTCCCCTCTGTTGGCAAGTCAACCCCTCCCTCGCTTCCATTGTCTCCAGCAAAACGCACAGTCCTAGTCAGTAATGTAATGCCTTTAATGGAATAATGGCTACAGAGACTGCAGAGCCACCTGGCCACTTTTTACAGCATCTTAGTTGAGGAGGAGGCCATCTTTCTCATGCTTCCAATGCTGCCTGTCAACACCTCCAGGGGCTTCTGTAGCTTCCAGAGTCTCAGCTCTCACATAGCCACCCCCATTCCTGGCCTGCTCCTTTCCATACGCACACATCTCGGGGCACTTTCTCTTCCCTTCTCCAAGTCTCCTGGGGATATGCCTCTCCCTCACAGGGACCCCTCTTCCTGGGGAAGAAGGGTTAGCTGAGTCCACCCTTGGCTCTCTGCCTCTGCCCCAGACTGTGGGGAGTAAGCTGCCTTCCTGCCTCCCAAGTCCCATTCTCCTTCTGCCTTTTTCCTCTTGTAGCTGACACTGCCCTTCCCCATGGCCATGGCCTCCTCCTCCTCCTTTTCCTTGCGTTCTTCTTTATACGGACAGTGCCATGCCCCTTCCACCCCCCCCCCATTGCTCTCTTCCTGGGAGAAGCCCCTGCACACCTTGGGGCTCAGTGCTGGGTTGGGCACAGCTCCTCTGCCCAATGCCCCTTTGTTGACACTCCTGCCACTCCCAGTTTTGGCTTCATTCCCTACAGGGCATCTCCCTTGGCTTGCTCCCAAGTATGAGATAGTGAGCCCTGCTGACCCTTCACACCCTCTTATGATTCTTTTTCATTATAATAAGTGTAGACAGGACAGCCCTTCAAGCAAAGGACTCTTCCATCCGAGGACTCTTCTCTATCCATCAGGAAGGATGGGGCAATGCTGAAGACTGTTGCTACATCTCACTGAAATGGGACCTTCCACTTGCACAACAGAGGGCTAAAAGCAATGCCAAAAACATCTGATTCCTAATTGGGATAAGTCATGGAAAACACGTGGAAAAACTAATTTCTGCTTCCTTTTCCAGAGGCTTTTCAGCCTGCACGTATTTCATGGAAATGTTAGCTCCCCATTGCACTGGTGGTTAGTCCTGCTGGCACTACCTATGTTAAGTAGCAGTAGGGAGAGGAGAATTCAGGACAAGCATCTCCTCCTGTATTCATGTAAATCACTTGTTTCTGTATTCAGGTTTACATGCTCTTAAGTGCTCTCCTGCACTGTTTTCTTATTTGGTTTATTTACAACAATATCACATGATATAAAGAGTTCGCAAACTGAAAACTAACTGTGGGTTTTCTTCTTGGATTGCTCATGGTTAACAATCCATAGTTAAATCATTACAGAGTTCATGGAATGACAAGCCACAACTCAATGACAACCCATACTTTGGAGGTTGGAGCCCACTCTAAACTGAGGGTTGTAATTCCTTGTGAACTGTGTGCATGTGCATGCATTTGTGTGCACATGTGTGTGTGAAAGAGAGGGAGGGAGAGAGATGTTTGGATGTGTGTGTTATGGTTGTTGTCAGAGACTAGAATTAGCAGTGTTCAAGCTTTGTGTCCTTTTGGAAGGAAACAGATTGAAGAAACAGATTGAACTGAATCCAAATAATCAGTTTTCTCCAAGATT